ACAAAAAGCGCGTGTCACTTAAGTTCATAAATAAATAAAAAATTGAATATTATTTAACCACGGTTTTAGTCTAGAACCGTTGTAATAATATCTACATTTCACTACGTTCGTAAATATCAACAGTGATTGAAGTTTTTCCTAATAAATTTAAAATAAAACAGATTCATTATTTCCTTCATAACATGCCCTAAGCTAACTAGTGAACCAGCGAACCAGAGACGACAGCGATGGCGATTGCGAAATCTTCATCTTCACAATCTTCGTTCATTTAAATCTTCATTCTTGATAATCTTCCCTATCTTCATTCTTGGTTTCTTCAAAGTACGGTATGTTTTATGCAAACTTCACTCTCTTCCTCATCTTCCCAATTCTTGATAATCTTCACCATCTTCACTCTCTTGTTTGATTTCGAAGCTCATATACTTAAGATTTAGAGTTGTATTATTGTACTGAATATGCTTTATATTTTGTTGTTGGATTTTGTGGTCTGTTTCTTGCAAAGTTCATATGCTTCATCAATATGCTTAAGATTTAGAGTTTTATTATTGTATTGAATATGCTTTAGGTTTATATTTTGTTGTGTCATTCACAATATTGTTTTGATATAAATTTCAGAATTTATTATGGATCGTAGTTGGATGAAAGCTGATAGATTAGATCTGGTATATGAGAAAGGAGTTCTTAAATTCCTTGAATACGCTGATCAAAATCTTCCCGACGATAATAGTATCTTTTATTGTTCTTGTGTTAATTGCAGGAATATAAATAAAGGTACGAAGGATGAGATATTCCATCACCTATGTTGTGATGGTATATGTCAAAATTATACAATATGGACGTGATATGGTGAGGTAGAAAAAAAATCTAAACTCTGCGTAACAAAGTCACAAAGCTGATGAAGACGAATATATGGATGACCGTCTAGAAGATATGTTCTATGATATTGGAGAATCTTCTTTTAAGAAAGCGCATATTTATGATACTTTATGTAGTGATAAGGACACCCCTTTATATAAGGGGTGCACAAGTTTTACACGATTGTCTGCGGTTTTAAAATTGCTTAATCTGAAAGAAAATAATGGGTGGTTGGATAAAAGTTTCATAGAATTGCTTAATTTTCTAAAACAAATGCTACCAGAAGATAACAATTTGCCTGATCGTTGTTATGATGCCAAGAAGATATTGTGTCCGTTGGGTTTAGAGTATATCAAAATACATGTATGCCCTAATGACTACATATTATACATGAAAGAGTATGAAAATTTTGATCAATATCCGGAATATGGGGTGTCGCGTTACAAGATGAAGGACAACAATGGTGATGACAATGACAATAAAAATGTTAGTAGGAAGATGCATCCTGCTAAAGTGTTATGGTAATTGCCAATAATTATAAGATTCAAGAGACTTTTTTCTAATACGAATGATGTAAATAATATTAGATGGCATGCAAATGAAAGAAAATGTGATAGAAACATACGCCATGTAGCTGATTCTTTGTAATGGAAGAAAATTGATTCGTTGTTTCCGGATTTTGGCACTAACCCAAGAAACCTTAGGCTTGGGCTTGCCACCGATGGAATGAACCCCTTTGGTAATATTAGTACTAACCATTCTTCGTGGCCCGCTCTTCTCACGATTTACAACCTATCTCCTTGGTTGTGCATGAAACGTAAGTATATGTTGCTAAGTATGATGATTTTGGGACCACGACAACCTGGAAACGACATAGATGTTTATCTAAATCCATTAATTGAAAATCTAAGAATTTTTTGGGAGGAAGACGTTGAAGTTGATGATGCATATTCTGGTGGAAAGTTTAAGACGCGTGCAATGCTATTTTGCACAATCAACGACTTTCCTACATATGGTAATTTGGCTGGATATAGTGTCAAAGAACACAAAGTGTATCCTATTTGTGAATTTGATACATTTTATCACCAACTTGAGTTTTAAAAAAAGACTGTTTACCTTGGGCATCACAAATTTCTATAACCCGATCATTCTTATCGTAGATTGTAGAAGACTTTTAATGGAGAGCAGGAGTTTGATATCGCTCTTACCTTTAACCGGGGATGAAGTTTACGAACGAAAGAAACACATTAATGTTGTCCTTGGAAAGATAGAAAAAGAAAAAGGGCAAGTTGTTAAGAAAAATATATAGAAAAAGAGGTACGTGTTCTTTGATCTTCCATATTTCTTAAATCTCGATGTAAGACATTGTCTTGATGTGATGCATATGGAGAAAAATGTGTGTAATAGTTTGAATAGAACACTTATAAATATTCTAGGAAATACTAAAGATAGTAATAAATCTCGTCTCAATATGGAGGCGATGAGTATACAAAAATAATTGGCTCCAATAGAAAAAGAGAAAAGAACTTATCTGCCTCCGGCTTGTTACACTCTATGTAAAAAGGAAAAGAAATTTTGTTGCGAGTGTTTGCATGGTATCAAAATTCTCCAAGGTTACTCATCAAACATCAAGAAACTTATACCAGTGAAAAATCTCAAGTTAATTGGTTTGAAATCTCATGATTGTCATGTCTTGATGCAACAACTTCTACCAGTGGCTATCCGTGACATCCTACCAAAAAATGTGAGAGTAACTATCACCATATTGTATTTGTTCATCAATGCCATATGTAATAAAGTTCTTAATTTCAAACAACTAGATGAATTAGAAGATGAAACTTCCATAGTCTTGTGTCAATTGGAGATGTATTTTCCTCCATCATTTTTTGACATTATGGTTCACTTACTTGTTCATCTAGTTAGAGATGAAGCTGACATAATCTAGTGCATCCTATGGTATCATTGAGGAGATTTTAGAGATTAATTATGTTATATTTAGAGTGCCTTTATGTAAATGCAAGTGGACTCCCAATAATATTAATGGTGTACAAACTGATGACTTAGGATACAATTATGTGTAGGTGTTTAAAGTCAATACACCAAGAAGCAAGACACCAAGAGACAAAGAAACAAAACACTATAAGATACAATTATGTGATGTTATATAAAGTTTGTCAGTTATTTTGTGTCATTTTTCATTTGATGTAATACAATTTGGTTCTTAATCAAATGTATGGATTTGATGTAATACAATACGATTCTTTATTATGATACAATTGTTGTTTCTGTTCTGATATTGTTAAAAAAATACTAGTTAAAAAATGGAAAATTTTCAAAATGTAGAAAAATTATTTTAAAAAAAGCGTATTATTTAACGACAGTTGTAATATATAATTGTGGTTGTATAGTGAACGCTATCCATAATAATATATTACACAAAAAATGCGCTGGTGAGAATCGAACCTGCGACCTTTATATATTACAACGGTTAGTTAGGGCAACCGTGATCATATATAGCGCACTTTCAGGTTTTCTACAACGGTCTTAAGATCGTGATTGTAAGTAGCACATATACAAACACACCCTACGTAACAACGGCGGGTCACGCGTGATGTTATCCCTTTTTCTAACCGTTGTTGTATATGTTTTTCGTAGTAGTGTTTGAAGTAATGTATGGTGCTACATCAACGAAAGTATGTCAAAGAGATACTCAAGAGATTCATGATGAATGATTCAACTCCTGCATCTTCGTCCGTCGAACCAAAGTTGAAGGCGAAGAAGCATGGAGAGGAAGACAAAGTCATGCAACTTTGTTCAAACAAATTGTCAGATCTTTGAGATATGTGTGCAACACTCAACCTGATAAAGGTTTCTCAGTCATACAATTTTGTTTAAACTATGGAATTATATTTCAACGAGACTCTAAAAGTAAAGAAGATATAGTTATTTGCTATTCAGATGCTGATTAATGTGGAGATAAAGAAGATCGAAGAAGTATAATTGATTATTTCTTTCAAGTATTTAGTACCCCAATTTCATAGTGCTCAAGAAAGCAACTTGTGGTGTCTTAAACCTTTCTATATGGATATTATTTAAAGAAAACTATCATATTGACCACACAGTTTAGCCTATAGAAATATTGTCTCATTTGACTATTTAAATTGGTAATGCGTGAGTGTTATATTTACTCAGGAGATACATGATTGTCAATATTTGACTTAATGTCTTCTATTTTTTTGATATTTGATTTAATGTCTTCTATTTTTTTAAACATATGTCTTTGGTCATATCCCGAATACTCATTGTAGTTGCATCATCTTTATCCTTTCTAATTAATGGCACTATCAATATAAAACATGACCATAAAGTTCAATTATTCAATTCTATTATATTTTGACTGAATTCTAAAGCATTGACATCCAAAATAATCCCTAATAGACTGAAGAGAGTCTCATTTCACTTGTATCCAACTATATTTCCAACTATATTTATACTCACTTCACTTACTATCAACTAAGAAACATTTAATTAACTCTAACATTGTCTTTCAACTAATTTCAACTAACTATTTAATTATTTTTAGGTATAAACATCATCTCACATTGAATAAGAGATAATCTAAACACATGTTCAAAATTAGGTTTATAAAATAGAGCAATCTTCATCTTAAGATTTGATTTTTTTATAAAGTTGAGTAAAATTCAAACTAATATTTTATTTTATTTTTAAAAATATAAAGAAAATTAGTTATGTATTTATTGAACCCAAATAATAAGAGTAGCCACGAGGGTCCAACCGTATGATAATAATATGTTGTACAACTCTACTCTATCTATGAGGTCCAACATCCGTGACTTAGATAAATAATACCAACACACTTCCGCGGCATACTATGCTTTGCACTTACTCTTCTCACACTCTCTTCTCTTTTCTCTCTCAATTCTTCATCACACAATTTCACAATATGTTCTGAACTTCATATCCAAATTCACCACCAACATTTCTCTCTTCAGGTTTCTTCACTCTCATTGTAACTAATTACCAGCTTTAATCAAATTGTTATCATAAGGTTTTTTTGTTATGCCTGAATTGCTATTATTCTAATACATGATTATGATAATGAGAAACAGATCCTTCAATTGCTGATGGGAAGAAAAGGAGGAAGCTGGTTTTCCTCTGTCAAGAAAGTTTTCAAGTCTTCTTCCTCTTCTAAAGACACCACAGTGCCCGTCTCCGCGCCAGTGCAGCTTGACAAAAAGGTAATCTATTCTTCTCATTTTCATTATATTATATATGATCTAAGATTATAAGTTGTCAAGGAATCCGTTGAGCACGAGAAACAACGATGGACTAATAGTAATGGCAAGGACTATCACGAGATCAGAACTCCACGTTTAGGTGGAGTTCTGATCTTTTGATACTCCGACTTATTAGTTCATTGTAGATTTTCGTGGAGTGCTATTCGGATTCTCCAACATGAGTTTTTTATGTCAAGTGTTTTCTTTCATTTATTAGACAAACATGTTCATGTTAGAGGGTGAAACAGCGTGTAATTATGTTGTATTGTACATGGTCCCCAAATTTCAACACATTTCAAACAAAATTTCTTGTTCGTGTTTGTGTCACATAGTTTTCGTACAACCACCTAACTTGTGACATCGTTCAATGAACTTAAATTTACTATGTTAGATTGTCATAGTCAAGGTCTTATCTCAGTGTCACATTTGCAAAGAATAATTGTCAATGTTAGATATATAGTCTCAATAGCAGATTTGTGCGGTCCAAATTGTTAATGTTTGCTATTATCTTTTTAGAAGGAAAACCGAGAGAAATTGGAGAATGAAGTAGCAGAAGAGGTGTCATTCGAGCATTTTCCTGCAGAGAGTTCACCCGACGATGTAACCAATGAGGAGAGTACAACCTCAACTCCTGCGAGAGACGATAGAACTCATGCCATCGCTGTTGCAGAAGCCACCGCAGCAGCTTCAGCAGCTGCTGTTGCAGCTGCTCAAGCAGCTGCTAGAGTCGTAAGATTGGCCGGTTATGGACGCCACAACAAGGAAGAAAGAGCAGCCACATTCATTCAATCACACTACAGAGGATACCTAGTAAGACCCTATCTTATATCAAGGACCTGTTTGGCTTATTTCAAATTATGTACATAAGTACTTTTATGCAATAAACACTTATTCATTTTTGTTTTTGCTTTTGAAGTGGTTGAAATATCGTTAAAACTTAAGATCACAAGTTAATATCTGAAGTTACTAGTCGATTATGGTTCATTAATTTTACACCTACCACCAAACTTGTTCATTATGTCTTAATAATAACACACTATACATTATATCTTAATCATATCATTATAATTATATTTTAGACTTTATATGTTGATTATATTTGAAGTCAAGTATTTACCAAGCAACCTATATTCTCATCCATGTCTTTACTAAAAAGCAAAAATACACATGTTATATGTATATGTGTATGTATATAAACTTGTGTGAAAAGTTTTGTACTATTTCAATTCTAAGGCTAATAAAGGAAAATGGGTCCTATTGAGTACAAGTTCCATGAAAGCTAATTATTGTTCATTGAATCTTATAATTTCTGTTTACCTGTCAATTGGTTGTGTTTTTGTTTGACTTAACTCTATGCATCTCAGTCTGGTAACTTTTATGGACTGATGATATTAATAACAATGCTATAAATAGGCTCGACGTGCATTACGCGCATTGAAGGGGTTAGTGAGGCTGCAGGCGTTAGTGAGGGGGCACAATGTGCGGAAGCAAGCTCAAATGACAATGCGGTGCATGCAAGCATTGGTACGGGTGCAGGCGCGAGTGAGAGCGCGACGACTTCAATTGAGCCATGAGAATTTTGAGAAGGAAATGGATGAATATGAAGAAGAAGAATTTGTGAGACAAGAGAGTTTTAATAAGGCTATGAGTCCTATGAGAAGGTCATCAGGCATTAATAATAATAATGGTTTGGATCATAGTAAACGTCAAAGTAGCAAAAAAGCTAAAGAAAGTGATTTGAAAAAACATGAAGCTGCTATGAAGAGGGAAAGAGCTCTTGCATATGCTTTCAATTATCAACAGGTAAGGTTTCTCAAATATATATAAACTTTCGATTTGAAGTTAAAATAACCGAACCATATTGCACAAACAAAAAGAGTTCTAAAATCGAACTGGAATAGGTCCGGTTCGAGTGACTTTTTATTATATGGTTCGGTTCGGTTTAGTTTTTTACACCGAAATTAACCATGAACAAGCCATAATGATGAAAGTGTGACATAGTGTAACATTTTGTTTGTAGCAACAACAAAAGCAACATCTACTACATGGAAATAAAAATGGTGAAGATGTTGATATGAGAAGCTATGATCCCAATGATAATGAAAAAGCCCAATGGGGTTGGAATTGGTTGGAGCGATGGATGTCATCACAACCCTACAATGCAAGAAACTTAGGACAACGTGAAACCTCTTACATGACACTACCTTCCACAACATCAACAACAACAGATAACATGTCTGAAAAAACGGTTGAAATGGACATGATTGCAACACCAAGTAGAAACAACTTCAATATGGGCTTAACGGGCCAAGATTTTCGTGATGCAAGCCCAACTTTCAATAGAGCCCATCAGAGACCGCCAAGCCCGGGCCGACCTAGTTACATGGCCCCGACTCAATCTGCCAAAGCTAAGGTTAGGGTCGAAGCCCCATTTAAGCAGAGGGTTTCATCCGGGCCTAACTGGAACACGTCTACGAAGGGAGGATCGGTTATTGGATCGGGCTGTGACTCGTCTAGCTCGGGCGGTGGAACGACTACTTACCAGGCTCCGAGAAGCCCAGGCCCGAGAGTTAACGGTGTTCGTTCGCAGTCTAATCGGATTGTGGGCAGTAGTCAAGAGTATGTTGAGGATTGGGCCCTTCCTCTTGGAGCCCATGGTTGGGCTTAATTTGGTTTTTGAAAAATAATAATAAAGTGTTTATATGGTTGTGATTATGATTGGTATTTATGGAGAGTTTAATAATGTTGTTGATGTCATGAACAATTTTTTTGAGGATTGTAATTTCTATTAAAAGATATTTAATATTGTATATCACATGTAACATGATGGTATTTGCTTTTGATTTGAGTATCTTTCTGTGAAAAGATTGAAGTAGTGTTTGATTTCATGGACAAATTTTATGGAATAAAAAGCACCGTTCATTCCCCATTTACCCTTTAAACTTAATTTCTTACATTTTCATTCACAAGAAATATCAAATTGAAAATTCTCTCATCAAAACTTCTTTAAGTGATTCTTGTGAGTTAGACTAAGATATGATTATTTGTATGAGAGTGTTTATGAGTGAAAATTGAATAATATTCAATTTTATTTTAAGGAAAAGTGTAAGAATTGAAGAAGAAATTTTTTTCATATATTAAAAGTTTTTAGACTTTTATGTAGGGAAGATCCATACTTTGATGATGCCCACTCAATTGAGAATTGAATATTGAAGTGGTGAAACTTTAAGATTGGTGTTGAACACTTCCATATGAACGTTCAAGAGCGTATTATAGAAAAGGATTTCTAATTTTTTTTTTCTTTTGGTATTTTAGATAGTGAAGGTTTTGAAAATTTGGGTGTAGATTTGCAGCCTCAGGGAATTTTTATCATAAACATTCTTATAAACTATTATATTAAAATAGTTTTTTTAATTATTTTTTTATTTTTTATTTTTTATTTTTTTATATATATATATAAAAATTGTGAGAGAAATGTACCCCACGAAGATGATAGTGATGAAACTTATATAAATTATGTTATTGTTTTTTATTCTATGTGAAATAGATATTTTTATTTTTGAGAGGAAATTTCGTACTTTTCATGACTCGATTTTGCAAAGTTATTTACTTTACACAAATGTAAAAAATAAAAGTTCTCAAAGTGTTTAAATAGTGATATCAACATAAACTCAAACTTTCTAATTCTTATGATAGCATTCTAATTTCTAACAATAGTGCAAGGCTAAAAAAACTATTTCTCCTAACTCAGACAAATGCTGATATCATTTTTTTTTAATTTAGATTTTATTGTGTTTTGTTTTTAATACTCTTAAAGTGTGTTTGGATGAAGCATGTTAATTTGATCAAGATGAGCATAGTAAAGAAACAATTCTCATTGAAAAGAATGAAGAAGTAAGTGTTTCTTATATACAACAAGGTGACTTGCACCATAAGAAACTAGACTCAACCACACTACATTGTGTCTTAGAGAGGAAGTTACAAATCTTAACTAACTCATAACAACTTTGTAACTATAATCAAGGTAGTTAGTGATGTATGATGGTATTGTTATCATGCTCCACATGCTCACTATCATTATGCTTCAATATCCCCCCACAAGTTGAAGGTTGATAAATGTTTATCATCTTCAACTTGAGTAATAATTCCTTAAAGGGTTGAGGATGAAGAGCTTTGGTGAACAAATCAACAAGTTGATCTTTGGATTTGACAGAAGTAACTTTAATATACCTTTGCTTTGTTTTTCTCTTACAATGTGACAATCAATCTCCAAGTGTTTGGTTCTTTTGTGAAAAACATGATTGAAGGCAATATAAATTACACTTTGATTGTCACAATAGATGATAGGTGTTTTAGTACACGTGACATGCAAATCATTCATGAGGTATAAAAGCCATTAGAGCTCACAAGTGGTTGTTACAAGAGCTCGACATTCAGCTTCTGATGAAGATCTTGAGACTTTCAACTGTTTCTCTGTCCTCCATGAAATGAGGGATCAACCAAGGAAGAAGCACTAGCCTGAAATGGATTTGCGTGTGTCAATGCAGTTTTCCCAATTAGCATTTGAGTAACCATTCAGTTGTAAAGCTGAATCTCGTGGGAAAAAGATGCCTCGAGCTGGACAAGTTTTGAGGTATCTTAGAATTCTGCAAGCAACATTGAAGTGAGTGACTGTAGGAGCTGACAAGAACTGACTTAATTATTGTGTGCAGAAGGTTATGTCGGGCCTGATTGCATTCAAATACAATAACATGCCTATGAGTCTTCTGTAAGAAGGAATATCATGGTAAGGAGTGCTAGAATCCTAATGGAGTTTGATGGCATAGTCAAATGGTGTGGATACTGGTCTTGACTCAAGGAAACCTAGATCTGCTATTAAGTCAAGTTAATATTTTCTATGATAAAGAAGGATACATGCATTTGAGTGTGTTACTTCAATTCATAGAAAGTATTGTCCAATGTTGTTTTGATAGAATTGAACTCATCCAAATCATTACCTGTTAGGATCACATCATCAACATACACTGGCAGAATCGTGATGTAGGGTGAGTTGACTTTCACAAATAATGAGTGATATGAAGTGGCTTGTTTATAATGATGAGAAATGAGGAATTTAGTAAGCCTTCCATACCATCTTCGACTAGCTTGTTTAAGTCCATATAAGAATTTAGTAAGTTTACAAACTTGTTGGGCTTAGTGTGAGATACTCCTTGTGGAATTGTCATATATACATTCTTTTCAATTTATCCATGTAAGAATACATTCTCTTCAATCTCTACCTATATTTAACAGGCGCTGATGTTTCCTCTCAACCTTTCCATTTTATTGAGGGTTTTCAACACATGACGTGTGATATGTCATGTCTTTAGATGCATAGGATTGGTGTAGCATAAATTTAGGTCCATTGTCTAACTTGACAGTTTTAGGTGTGATATGAAATTGGTTGATTATCATGGTTATAAAGTTTTGGACTTGTCTAGATACTTTAGATTTGGATTTTAAGAATCCATACAAATCGTGTGGGATCATCAAGTATGGTCAGAAAATATTTGTGGTTATGAATAGATAGAGTGGATAATGGTCCCCAAATATCAAATTCTAAGAGTTAAAATTTATGAGGAACAATAAAGTTACTTGAATGATAAGGTAATTTTTGTTGTTTGACCAAATGGCAAATATCATAAGTGGCATTAGTATTAAAAGTAAAGGAAGAGTACATTTTGGCCACCCGTGTTATCCTTTTGGATAGCACATGGCCTAGCCTAAAGTGCCATAAGGCAAACTTGGGAATTACAACATTTTGGAAACGTGGAGGAGGAAATGCTTTATTGGCATGATTGGTATTACCTTGTATTAGGAACTAGAGCTGATGTAGAGTATCAGGAATAGAGTTATTAGTTGCAGGATGGGTGTCTTTTATTTACAACATATACAAGCCACTATCTTTGCTACCCAAACCAATCATCCTCAACATATTCAATTTTTGTAAGACCCAATGATCAATAGAAAATATGGGAGAGCATTTCAAGTTATGACATAGTTTAGAGATGGAGATGAGGTTAAAACTGAAATTTGGTGCATATATACATGGTTGAGATGCAAAATAGGTGTAAAATTGACATTTCCAGCATAATGGACCATATTACAATTGCCATTGGGAAGATTTATTTTAAGGGGTTTAACTTTGTAGTAAGAATCAAAGAAACTGAGGGAGGAACATACATGATAGTTTGCACGAGAATTTAGGATCCATGTATGAGACAATTAATTAGTATAGTGAGTAATATTACGTACAATACTTGAATGTTGATCACCTTGAGTTTGGCTAGTCGAAATGTGATTGGTAGTGGAAGTAGGAACAGATGAAGACATAGTTAAAGTTTGAAGCAAGCTAATGACTTGTTCATGCTGAGCTTGTGAAATAGGCATATGATTGCTTGTGTGAGAAGTATCTAGAGTAACATTGGTTTATTGAGAAGGAGGCAAGTTTCCACCTGAATTGCAGTCACAGAAGATTTGTTCTTATTAAAATTAGGGTGTCTATGTTTTTTATAGCAAAAATCTATTGTATGTCCAGTCCGATTGCAAAATGTGCACACTCTAAGAGCGGTCTTGGTGTGATGAAATCCACCTTTGTTCCTAAAATCGAATTTTCGTGCAACATTCACTAGGATGTAGGAATCTTGAGCAGGTGTAAGATTCTTGTGGTGACTTTCTTCTTGAATCACAAGAGAGTATATACGATTAATGGATGGTAGGGAATCCATGATCAAAATATGAGTTCTAACAACAGAAAAAGTATCATTTAATCCTGTGAGAAATTAGATTGCTTGTTCATGCAAATCGTTTCAAGCATCTAAAGCATTTTCATGAAAAAAGAATTATTGAAGACATTTGTTTACTAACAGAATTTAGGATCCACGAGTGGATCAGATGATTACAATGTTGCCACTGAGCAAAGTTCAGGTCATCATTATCAGGTATTTCGGTGGATCCATCAATAAACGTCAGGTATTTCTTAGCTCCTACTACACATTGCATGGACCTGCTCGATGATAAGTAGTTGGAACCATCGAGTTTTGGAGTAATGTTAATAGAATGAGAACTATCACTTGGATGGATGTAGTAGATTGAATCAATATGAAGTTGGTGGTTTGGTGTTAGGCGCGAAGGCATGTTAGATCGACGAGTAAAGGAATGAGTGAATGCAACAAATATGCAGAAACTGAGATCAACGAAGACGATGAAGAAGAGGAAGTTGTTGCAACAATTATGTAGAAACTAAACAGATGACAAAAAAAACAACAAATCAGAATCAGAGTAATTGATCAAAGAAAGATGACACGATGAAAGAGATCATTCACAAATTCGAGAGATTGATGAAGAATGTTGAAGAAGTCTTCACATGGAAGATGAAGTATGAATGAAAGCAATGTTCATAGGGATGATACCATATTAAATTGATCAAGATGAACATGGTAAAAAGAAGAATTCTCATTGAAAAGAATGAAGAGGTAAATGTTTCTTATATACAACAAGGTGACTTGCACCATAAAAAAACTAGACTCTACCACACTACACTGTGCTTTAAAAAGGAAGTTACAAATCCTAACTAACTCATAACAACTTTGTAATTATAATCAACATAGTTAGTTATATGCGATGGTA